ATTATTCGGAGCTTGTGCGGAGAACGGTGTCCATAGCAACGTTTGAAGGGATAGCAATGGTGATGGGGATGGATGGTGGGGTATAAAGTGGTTGCTGTGGATACCAAGGGGAGGGCCACAAGTATTAGCCCCAAAACAGAAAACAGAAACAGATAGATATTATTATATAAAAATATGGAAAAATATCTGTTAAAAATTAAATTAAATTTCTAGCTGCAAAATATAATATACTAGTAATGCGGTTGGATATTTATCCCAACACCTGAACGCACCTCGCGATTAATTAATAATTATTATTATCACGCGCGTGTTATTATTAGATGTGATAAATTTTAAGGTGAATAATTTGGATATATTGAATGTATTTATTTTCATTATTGAATATAGACTTATAATATTATGTAAACTAGTTACGTGTAATAGGTGTGGATATTTACCTGCGGGAGCGTGTGCAGAGTTTTTAATTATATAGTCAAGGAATAACTAATAAGCATACGATTAACCTCGTATTCGATTGTCGGGTCTTCGAAATTAAAATTGCAAATCGTATTATAATATATATACTGTATAGGTATATTATAAAGAATCAAAACCGGAATAAATACAATGAATTATCGACATTTAAGCATTAATTCGTTATAATATTGTGGCGATTCACGTCTATTTCAATAATATATATATATATATATATATATATATATATATAATACCTATATATATATATATATATATATATAGGTATTAGGTATTTGCGTTCGCATTAAATTATATAAAACTAACGAAATCCGGTAGTGTTTTACGGCAGAACATTCAAAATATATTTCGTTAAAAACAGATGAGGCGCCTTACGATAGTGTCGATAAATGTCACTGTGTTTTATATTTAATTAATTTGTGGCAGCGTCAAGTTTCTAAGATTAACTCTAAAACTAACAGTAGTATAAGCATATATACATGTAGGTATAGTAACTGTGGATTTGATAATAATATATAAATATATAATTATAATATTTAATATAATAGGAGGGAATTGTTAAGATGACTAGCTTCTTTGCCGTCTCTATTCTATCCCCGCGATACCGCTGCAGCCTACCATGAAAAAAATGAAATTCAGATAGATAATCAACAAAAAAAATGGGGCTTATCATTGCGAAGATTTGTCACTATTTAAAATTTAAGTTTTGATGAAATAATGTCAACTTCATGAAATACAGTGTACCTACCTATATATTATTGTATATACGACCACTGTGAACGTCCTACAAATTATTGGCAGGGGGAGTAATGTAGCGCCCGTGTCCATCACCTGTAAAATTACAAACGTTATAATTAGGCTGTTAATCTTTTAAATTTTTTTTTCTGGAATCATATTTTCTAAATATTATAAAATATTATAATTATTTTCCATTTAATTGTTAAATATAATAATGTTCTGAATCTACATAAAAATCTGTACTTTATTTTTTATAATACCTACGTAGTTTAGTCTGGATATATATACACAATTTTATCATTCACATAAATTCACATAATTATGGGTGGTATCAATACAAATATAATAAGTATATAATATATATACTACACTGTGTACTTATTATATATTTTTAATTTTCATCTAGGATCCTAACCACTATTATTTCGTTCAGTAATGTACCTATTAATTTATTTAAACTAGGAATTTTGGAATTTTCAAGTTTACTTAATACTATATTTGTTATACCAATTAAGGAGTGTACTTTACTTATACCTAGATATTTAAAAAAAATAAATCTATTTTCTCTATAATTTGTTAATTAGATGACTTTTTTTAAAAACTTTTATATACTTAAATTAAATTCAAACTAGTAGTTTTGAGTTATTTAACTTTGAGTACTAAAGATAGTTATAAGTCCATAATACTGGGTTTGGATTGGAAGGTAATGCGGGAGTATCAACATACCTATAATATTATAATTTGTGTGAACATTTTTTGCGAATAATAAATACTATATATCCAATTTTTGCATACATTTTATATTTTTGTGTTACCATTTTTAAGGACTATTATCCATGTTTTTAACTCAGAAACAACTCATTCAAATATTGATTTATACACATACAAATTTGCTCAATAATTTACAGTACAAAAAGGTTGGTTCTATCGTTTGAAAAAAATAAATTTGTATCATCATCGTACGACACTCCTTAAATAGTATAAAAATCTAAATAATTGAAAATATGATCCTTTTTAAGTGAAAATTCCAAAATTCGAAGTTTGAAAAAATGCATTATTAAATGAAAGATGGGGATGAGCATGCTCGAATAACCACTCTGTATATAAAGCAAATACAATACCTTGGAAAGTACTCCGCGATTTAGTACAAGTCCTTGCGAAATTTCGGATTTAGTTACACCCATTTTCCAAATAGGTATCTGCAAAAATAAAATATAAATAACTTATAATATTATGTACACGCATGTAATTTGACTTATTATTACATTTAGATACGGATCTCGAACGATTATAGTAATATTAATTACACCGTGTTTATGCATATTATTAACATAATAATATATAATGTGCCCTAACTTGTACCTTTACCTATATTATAATATACGCAGTTGATCTGATATTATTATTAATTATCGCCCGTGGGGAGAGATCATATTATTTTATACATATCTATATAGATACACGAATATAATATAGGTATAATATTATTATTGGTACTTCGGATCGGTTTGGTCTAATAATATATTACGGTCGCGTTTTTTACGTACGTCGTAAAGTTTTCTCTTAGCGGTGAGAAAAAAATGTAAGGCTCGTAAAAAAAAATAATCGCGTTAAACGGTAGCCGGGAGGACGACGCGTATCTACACCTACCTATGCCAAACATATAATATATTATTCGCGATTTCGATTTCCCGTCGTCATTTATCGGTCGATCGAATATAATTCATAACAGCTGCCAGCTTTGGATACATATATTATTATTACTATTATTGTATATACGGCACGACCATCGCGCATAATATAATATGTAATATTGACAACGCAATATACGATTTTCGCGCGTTGGTCGCCGATATGTTTTGCGAGGGTTTTGCGCATTACAATATTAATATTATGTATATGCAGACACCGCAATATTCTCGTCTGACCTTATTATTACTATTATGATTGCGGTATAATCGTCGCCGTTATTATATTTCGCGAGTCTTACAAGCTCACATGCACACCTACGCGCACGCACACACGCATATTATAATATTATCATAGTCGTCGACGACGGACAGTTATTACACACAAACTTACGCGGCGTACGTGGCCCACGAAAACCCACGGGCGTCTGTCGCCGGGTCCCACCGCGCCGCGCGAGGTCGCGTCACCTGCAATGGCGTTATTTTGCAAAAATCTCGCCGACACGCTCGCGAACTTGTCGTCGTAGGTGTACAACTGTAGAACAGTGCGAAGTGTTGTAAATTTACACTTTCGTTTGACGACACTGACAACAACAACGACACAAATTTCGCAAACAATAATATACTTAAAAGTACCCGTTGGAAGTTATTCTAAAACAGCTCTCAATATATAGTCAAGACATAACAAAAAATACTTTTTCAATGATATACCATGCATATACTACCAGTAAATAATTATTTTACAAAGCTTCAGTACCTATAAAGGTATACTATACAGTATACACTATGAAAAAAAAATTTTACTTTTAAAACTGAACACGGATATAATATTTATCATTCTAGACATAAATTTTATCTAATATCAAAGTACCAACCACGAATAAAAATTTAAGATAATCCAGTATTCGCACACTAATATATAGGCCCAGAAATGTACAACATACTACCATTAGATACTAAACATAATTAACTCTTCCGAGATTCTTTAAAAAAAATTAACTACTTACAGCTAGAACAAAATATATAGACATACTGTGCTACCTATAACCCATGTTTAGGATATCATTCCATTATTTATTAGTTCTTACATTAATTCAATAAATTATGATTTTAGTAATATTATTGATAATTTTTGTTTTATAGCTTTATATTTTATTTTGTTTGTTTGTTTGTTTTAATGTTTTTTTTTTTTTTTTGAACTCGAGCTTGGCCACTATGAGTATTAGCTATTGTAGGGATTATTGACTAAGGTTGGTAAAGACGGTACAGTAATGTTGTTGCGGTTGTGACTGTTGTTACTGTAGGTATGCAACACGTATATGTGTGGCAAGGTTTTTGCTACTACGAACCCGGGTGGTCACCCATCCGGGAACTAGTAGCAACGGACGTTACAACCCTAAGCCACATTACGTGACTGAAAGCAGCCAACGCGCCTCGCCAAGCCACCTTATATTTTATTATTTATATAATTATATACTATACGATTTTATATATAATTAATAATTCTACATAGTAAATACACATACCAAATTAGGTATACGATTTTAAATTAACCGAATATTGTTGGTACAGCTGTCGAAATTAATTTTCTTTTGTTCGTATTACAAAACATATTATCTTCAAAAATGGAATGAACATACTTTATAATATGATTTGGATGATTTTCAAAATATGCCAAGACGATCACAATTCAAAATTGTACAATTACAAATATTTTTAAAATGTTGAACAGGCATTATAATATAATATTATACTATATGCGTGCTTCATGTCATAATAAGTATAATGTTTTGAGGCTCTGCAAATTTTTTTGTACAACTCCCGATTCATATGTCCAGTGATTTTCGAGTTCTTTATATTAATATATTTTATTATAACAATATTTAAGCATACACCTGTATAATATTCGATGGCTGAAATTAAATCAATGAGTATTTTGTTAGTAGACCAACATAGAAACTGGAAATAAACAATGCATAATAAACAAAAATCCATTTGGTGTTAATCACTATATATAAAGCATTCAACTGTTCAACTGCTTTTCAACGTTTTTTCTATAATTTATTGTACAATTCGCATAATGTTGTATCGTGCCACGCGATGGATGCTGGAGTGCCAGGACCTCCAGGCTTTCAAACAAGGCATGGTTTCACTATCAAGACGTCGGGCTATTTCACTCAAATAGCTTCAATTGATCGGAAAAGGAAGAATAAGCGGGGATACCACCTAAAGCACCAGAAGAGCAATAACTTTTTAGCCTGGTTAGGTATGTGGGCTAATGATTCATCTGCTAGGTACCGTAGTGTCTGGAGTCAGCGCCTCGACTGGAGTCAGTGCATCGACTGGAATCAGTGCCTCGACTGGAGTCTGTGCCTTGAAAAAATATACAACTCCAAATTGGTTGTTAGTAGTCAGTTATGGAAACGTGTCAAAGATAAACGAACGTATGAAAATACTGGAAACTACTGGAGATTTGGAACTGTGTACGTCTTTGCGGTCGAACAATTTTCGACCGACGACTGAAATGATTGGCATAGAGCATGATCCAATTGTGGAAGATTGCGACTCAGAAATGACCCAACCGACTCGCAAAACTTTTATTATTAAGCAGGTACTTGTGGTGCAGGTGCACAACAGTTTTACGACTTATTATTGAGACCACCAACAGTATCGTAACTTATAAGGTGTCTAATATGTACGAAATTATGATAATATCACTATGAACCGATCAATACATAATGAGTCTATAATTTAATTATTTTACAATTTTAAGAACTAATATTGACTCCAGACACTACGGTAGCAGATGAATCATTAGCCCACATACCTAACCAGGCTAAAAAGTTATTGCTCGTCTGGTGCTTTAGGTGGTATCCCCGTTTATTCTTCCTTTTCCCATCAAATGAAGCTATTTGAGTGAAATAGCAAAAAGCCACCTCTCTTTTTAACTACAAAATAATTATTGAATTTTAAATGTGATACATTTTGAAATTAAATGCTTATAAAAAAAAATTGTGCCTATTTATTTTTAATATATAATATTATTGTAATAATATATCAGGAGCATTACATTAAATTGTCACGCTTTTTTATCAAACAAATTAATTTTATTGATATTAATAAAAAAAAAAAACTAAAAAATTTGAAAACTGACAATGTTTGTAAACAGCTCAAAAAGAGTCAAATTATTTTCAAAATTGTATGGTGTATAGAAAATGCTAATTTAAATATTCAATGAATTTTTAAAGTATTTACAGTAATTCGTTTTTTAATTACAACAAAATACATGACATGAGAAATAGAGTGAATATCAAATGTTGTAAAAATATGAATTTCAAACACTCATAAAAATTTAATTTGACTCTCTTGAAGATATTTTTTTTTTTTGATAAAGGTAGACAAACTTATGTGGAATCTTGTATTATATTTTCTAATCTTAGATTTAAATAGAAAAATTTTCATGAATTTCTAACTCAAAATAATTTGCAAATTTTCGTCATTTTTACGTATTTTGTCAATATTTGAACTTTAAATGCTTATAAAAAAAAATTATGACTTTTTTGATTTTTGATTTTTTTCATTTTCCTTTGAAACAATATACTAGAAACCTTCTATTAAATTTTCAAGCTTTTTAACCAACAAATAAAATTTTATTGATATTTATAGAAAAAAAAAACTAAAAAAAATGGAAACTGAAAATGTCCGTAAAGAGTTCAAAATAAGTCAAAATATTTGGAAAATGTCATGGTGTATAGAAAATGATAATATAAACATTCAGTCAAAATTTAATTTAGTACTTAAGGTCATTTATTCAAGAGTTGCACCAAAAACCAAAATCGATTTTTTTCGAAAACACATTTTTCGTAAAAATTCCCGTTTTGCCTTAATTTTTCTTTTGTTTTTCACGGCGCTTTAGAAAACTACTGGAAAACTTTTACTTTTGACCCCCCAAAGTACCAACTATATTCACTTTCCTTTCAGAAAAAATACTGTTGAAGAAAATCCAAGCACTTTTACCATCCTAAAAGGTGATGGCAGACACAAAAAAACACACATCATTGTAAAATCAATACATTCTTTGTTTCACCCAGAATCTAAAATGAAGTAGTGCTAAGAACAAATATGACTCAAACAAATTATGGTTTATATTAAATTTTGGTTTTAGCGGACTTTTTGTAACAACTAAATTTCAGTGAATCTTATAAGTGGGGTGTGGGGGGACTATGCCCCCCACTTGTTATTTTACACTTTGGCTTTATAGGACTCTAGCAACTGTAACTATTCGATCCTAGTTACTCCCATATATACATAATTATTTAACTGTATTAACTTCTTCATTTATAATAATTGCTTTTCTTTTTTTGTCCCTATATCAAATATTATAGGTAAAAAATTTGATGGTATCGCCACAGTAAACTGAGTAAGTATTATAAAAAACCAATAAATTATTTGAAAATCCTTAATTCTTTTTAAAAACTCCACACCATGAGTCATGACACCCCACACTCATCACCATCATGTATAACACGATGTATCGGGCTCTAAAATCAATCGTTACAAAATAATAGGTACGAGTTAAGAAAACGTTTAGAAAAGCTTGTAATATAATATGATCGCCGCCGACACGTCCGATATCGATTAGGAATCGACTTTGAATTTATGTCATCGTTTCTCTTTTCGCCTACCTCCACACACACGCACGAAAATCCATGTATATTATATAAAAATCATTCTGATGGCGATTCGTGCCTACGGGCGATATAATCATTCGGTCAAAACTATATTATTATTTATTAATATACACGATCGTATAATATACCTACTCGAGTATTTGGCGAGTATTAGTTTATTATTATTATTATTATTATTGTGACGCGCAGACAGACGATTCGCGCGAGTAGGTTCTATTTATTTACGACAGACGAGATTACATGACGATTTATACGTATCCGCCATACACACAGCGAAAACGCAATATTTATATACTATTATATGCACAACTATAATAGTATATTACCATTTACCGCCATGTGTGCGAGCGTATTCGAATTAAATCGCAGCGCGCCTGTTTGCATTGTATAGCAGTGTTAAGCACCTTATGTTACTTCCAACGCGATCAGCACACGCACTATCCGTATTTGCAGAAAAGTTGAACGCCAGTGCCTTATTATATTATGCTATTAATTATTGCGTACCTATATTGATAATATAATAATATACTTCATGCAGGCGAACGCGTTTTTTCGTGTAAATAATTATATCATGTACAGCACCTACAATGTGTATTAGGTATAGGTATTATAGGTAGTGTGCAGTGCGTTACGAGACATTATATAGGGTTGCGGCAGTTGTACGATAATAGCTGCAGGGAGTCCTTTGCAGTGGTGGAGTTGGGGTATGACTGCCACACTGACTTAAAAATGTCGTGATAATTATAATATTGTCCTCCCACGCACACCATCGTCATAATTTACTTGTATATTATTATGTATTCAAATGTAATATGTTTCAACAATATATTTTGGTAATAATGGATTAAAAACCATATACATTCATTGAAATCTTAAAAAAGTCAATATAAAATGCACTATTGGTACACCAAAAATCATAATTTAAAAAATATAAAAATCTATAGGGTGAGTGTAAAAAATGTTAACTAACGGAAATTATTACAATGTATAAACATCAAAAAAAGACCTGAAAAATCAAAAATGTTAAAAAATGCCCAAGAATTCAAAATAAAAGTTTCAAAATTGAATTCATAAGTATTTATTACATAATTCGAACTTTGTGTTGAAGCTATGTTTCATAGTAAGCTAAAATAAATGCATTTATCTACAAAGTCACAGCACAAGTTATTGGTCATATCATAATCAAAAATCATATACCTATATCCATTATCTTACCATCTGTTATAGTGTATATCGCTATTGTTGCTTATGTGTTACATAGTTTTAATTCTGCCAACTGCAGCTAACTATTTGAAAAGCACATTAGTCGACTTGAATAATTATTGCAATTAGGATTATAAAAGGAAAGGAAAGAAAATATTTAACGCACTATTATACATCTATACATGTCTAAACATATTTTAAGTCTATAAGGACATAAGGACATTGCGTTTTGCTGTACATATGAATAACAAATAATAATAAACTATTTTATTTTATTTCAAAATAAATCCCATACTATAACGCATATGATAATATTATTTCTGTAACCAATAGCAACCGTCCATAAACAAACAAAAAATTATTTGATTTTCGTGAGCCAAGACGAAAAATTATTGTGTGCTCAAGGGGTGGGGGGAGGGTGTCATATATCCTCTCTTTATCTTATTTTTGTCATATAAAATATATGTATAATATATATTAAAGTATATTTACTGATATAACGTGATTTGAGAATAAACAAAAATGCATATCTCCCCCCCTCCCATTCAATAAATCTGACCAAGCCACTGCACCCTATAGTAACCTATTTATATAAATTGTATTTGTTTGTATGTGTGTGTTGAAGTGTAACTAGGATAAAAATTGAAACCCGAAAATACTGTTTCGGGTGAGAATCAGTTCGAATGAGAATATAATATTATTATAAAATAATACCACCATTTTTACCGATGTTAAACTGTAAAATACCTAATATAAATACGTAACTTAATTATTGCATGTACCTATACATATTTATTTCACATTTTTTTAGTTTTACGATGCTATTATTTTGGAGGAACTGTGGGTTAGCCTTCATTTACCTTTATTTAATTTAACCCTACCATCTATCAATATCGGTACACCACTGTATATTACACAGTCAGATACAAGAAACATAATATTACACATTATTACTCACTAGTCATAATAATAATGAAACGTGTGGTTCAGGCACAGAAAAAAAGGGGGTTCATACGTAAAAAATATTAAACATTTTTAACAATAATTTTAAATATTGTTCATTTATCGTTTGCAAGTTAAGTGTTTGACATCGATCTTTATAAAAATAAGTAATAACAATTGTTGATGTGGGTATAATGTCTAGATTATAAAACATTTTTATTGAATACATTTTGGTTTTACCCCCCCCCCCCCCCCTTACCCAACTCCTCCCAATGTATACGTTCTGCTGAGGCTATAATATTATGTATTTTTTTATTTATGTATTTGCTGCTTGGCATTATGCAGACGGCATAAATAAGTAACAATTCATATTTTCAACACTCGTGAAAAGTCGACAAGGTTATTCTCTTCTGTACACAGTGTATAGGTACATATATATACCTATGAACTACAGACGAGGTATGAGCCGTGTTACGGATCAGTGGGATCAGATTTTTAAAGTAATAGTAATTACCGACCCACTCTGTTTACCTTAGACGGTCGTCGCGCCATCGCCGCCGACGATACAATTTGATATAATATTATTATATAACATTGGTTTATAATATTATAAATTATAATGTTGTGTATCGGTTCCAGTTTCGTGCACACTCCGCAGGACCCCACGTATTTTATCGATCCGTTTTT